GACACTCTATCAACCCTGAAAATACGAAAGAAAAATATTGAAAAGCAAATAAGTTGGAAATTTGGACGTTTTGAATTTACCTCCGTTTGCAACAGGAAGTCAGAACGACGAAAAATGAAGGTCTTTCAACACATCTACATTCGATACTCTATCACGTCCGTGAGTTTCAGTTTCATATCTATTGTCATCCTCGAGAATTTTTTTCGACAAAATTCCATTTAAAAAATACAAATTTCCCCCAAAAACGCAAACGGAAGTAAATTTCGAAAAAGTGAGGGACATCCCTAGAGATATTCACAAGATGCATCATCCCTGCAAAAATCGTTTAAAATCAACCACGCACAGCTGAGATATGACCTGTACTATGAAAAGTGGAATAATAATAATAACTAGAAACGATCTCGTTGCGAGCAACGAGAGGTCTTCCGTCCGATTCAGGAAAAGAACCTAAAATCGAGCTGAAAAAGTGATAAAAAAATTTGGTCACAAAGAGGATTGAACCCAGGTCGCCAGCGTGAAAATCCAACGCGCCTTTTTCCTCTTTATTCCCAACACGCTTAAATTACGCGTTTGAGTCCACTGCTCTAAATGTACTTGAATATACTTCTTCAACAATACACCTGTCTAAGAATCACGAAAGGCGCGCCACTATTTATAATTTCGCGCCAAACGCCACAAGTTAATCTGCGCGCCTTTTCTTTGGAATGTTTCATTAAATAGGTGTGATAGCTTCAATAGAATAAAGAAAAAGGAACGTTCTTTAAGCCTAAATTTCGAGGTTTAGAAAGTATATTTAACAGATTGTACATATTCTATATCTTATATAGGTAAGTAACACAAAAGAAGTGAAATGGTAATCATTTTAAACTTTTTTTTAATTACCCGTTTATCCCCAAAGTGAACTAACCCGATTCTTTACACCTTCATGAAAAGGTAGAAATGGTTCGATGAAAGACATGTGTCGCCCTTCGACGGTCAAGGAATCAGATTTCATTTATGTTCAATGTTCAACTTTAAATATCTTTGAGAAAAGAATGTTAATATAAACTCCATTAGACGATCTTATTTAAAAATGGTTTTCTTATTTCTGTCTTTTGTATTAGTTTAATATGACTCAAGTGTGCATGGGAAACACAGTGGTTACGTTGGTGAAAAACTAATAAATTTTGAATACTGCTCTAAATATAGTTATGTATACAGTACACCTGCAACAATACACCTGTCTAAGAATCATAAAAGGCGGGCCACTATTCATAATCTGGCGACAAACACCACGAGTAAATATTCGTACCTATCCTTTGGTCTGATCTATCAAATAGGTGTGATAGCTTCAATGATATTAAATATTAAATAAAACAACTTCTTATCGCCTTTATTTTATTTCGACGTTAAGAAAGTAAATTTAACACATTGCACACACGTATCTAGCCCAATTACACTAAAGCAGTAAAACGGAAATTAAGTTTTAAGATTGTCACTGAATTGCAGCGTACTACTAGGTGAAAGTCCACGTAGTTTTTTTACTTTTCATGTATCATTTAGTCAAACGCTCAGCTGCCTCCATAAACCCCTACTCGCGAAATGGCGGAGTTGACAGAGACAGCCGCCATCTTGGGTCCGCTTCAGATTTTCAAATATTAATATCTAGAGTTCTGATTAACCAATATCCAAACAACTTATATAGTTAGCATCGATCAAAGGGTCTCTATTATCATTCCAAAAATAAATAAAAAATGTTGAAAAACAAAAAAGTTATAAAAACACGATTTTTTTAATTTGCACCTTGTAACGACCGGAAGTACTGACGACGCACGAAAAGGTGATTCTGCAAACCAGAAAGTCATGATCTATCATCTCCAATAAGTCTCCATATCATATCCTTAGCCATTTTCGACAAAAAGGGGCGACAAAATCGCATTTTAAAATCAGGAAATTGTCCATAACTTGGCACCAAGAGCGATTTTTCCAAATTTCTCTTCGGATGTAACAACTTCATATAATGACACATATTTTGTGAAAGTTTCATGAAAAACCGCTGAATAGTTTTCGAGAAATCGCCTGCACAAAATTTTGTCAAAAAAAGAATAATAATAATAATAAATAAGAAACAATAGAATCACTATAAGGTCTTCCGTGAAGACGGAAGACCTTAATAATAGAAAACAGAAGGAAAACGATAAGTTCTTCCGAATGAAGTCGGAAGACCTTAACTAGATGAGATCTCGTTGCGAGCAACAAGTACATGTAGGTCTTCCGTTGAATTTCTCGATAAGATGAGATGTGATTTTGACTGAGATATTCGTTAAAAGAGAATGACAGTAAGTTTTTCTTCATTAAATTTAATGTTTCTCATTTTTATCACGATATTCTGAACATCTTTTGTTGAATAAGGCTTATAAAAATACTAACCCTTTTCGAGACATAAAGCATAAAAAATATAGCATTTTGGTCCCTTGCGACCCCTAATTACGTAACATATGATAAAAATGATATATAATATATTGTTGCAAATCATTAAGATGAACACTTTTGCCCTAGTAATGTATAACAAAATATTGATCATTAGAGAGTTATAATAGATAAAAGAATTTTGGCCCCTCTGAGTCACTAATTTTAGGGGTCAGCCCTTTTTTCTTGATATTAATTGAAAGATCTTGTGATTTTGAAGATTTTTGTTCAACACTTATTCAGAGATTTCTTTTCGTTGTGGAGATATGCTGAATGGAAATATTTAGGGGCCATCGCTCCAAGTCCTTAATGGAGCTGTTTAACAAAAATTCAAAGTATGCATATTCCCCCTTTTTAAGATATAAAGCGTCAAAGATTTGACATTCTAGCCTCTTGTGACCCCCTAATTACGTAACATATGATCTAAATTTTATATATATTGTTGCAAATTGTTAGGATGAATATCTTTGCTTCTGTAATGTAAAACAAACTTTTGTTCAATAAAGAGATATACATGAAAGAGTTTTGGCCGCTGATTTGAGGGGTCAGCCCCCTTTTCTTGATTTCATATGAAAGGTCTTGTGAATCTGCACAACTTGTTTTCTATATATTTTAACAAATTATGAATAGTTACGAAGATATGAAACAAAAGATGTCAAATTTTGTGAGATTTTTCCGAGACATTTTTGGGGCTCTACCGAGCTTCGGCGCCTTTCGCGCTATAAAGATTTGGACACTTGCCTGCAACCCAGCAAACCTTCCTTTACTTTCACTGAAAATCTTCAATCAATATCTTAAGTCGTTCCGGAGGAGTTTCCAGGACAAGCCGACCCTCTAAAACTCAAAAAAATCGTCCATATCTCACGACCGGAAGTGACGTCATCAACGACTAAAATTTCCGACAAGGTCTGGATAAATATCTATCAAATCTGAAAGTTTGGTGAAAATCGGTCGAGCCATTTTCGAGAACTCGCATGCACAAAATCGGTAAGAAAAAACAAAAATAATAATAGGGAAAAAGAAACCGAACGAAAACAATAAGGTCTTCCGTTGGAGTACTTGATTTAAAAATAATCAAAGTATAAAGAATTTTCACTTTTCCTCTGTTTCCATGGAAACTATTTACAATTTCCAATTTTTAAATGCAACATGCACAATAACAAATACTAATCAATAAATCAGTAAAGTTTCATGAAGAATGTTGTTAAAGGGACCAGAGTGGACAAAATTTGTCGCTTTTTGCAGGTTTCCATGGCAACGGTAGCAATTTCGAAACCGGGGCCCGTTTACAAAAGAACTTACGACTTAAGACCAAATAAAATTCTTAATATAACTTTTTAATAAACAAAATACAGAACATTATTTAATAATTTTCAAAAGAAATGTGATAAGATATTTTTACACAAACAATTTCAAAGACAATTATCAATTTTGCAAAATATTACAATAATCTGAAGTTTTTGGTCTTAGTCGTAAGTTCTTTCGTAAAACGGGCCTCAGAATGACCACATGGCACAACTACAACCAGTGATCCTCCTTTAAGGAAAGTTTCAGGAAGATTGTCCCAGCCATCTCCGAGAAAACGCCTGGACAACAAAAACATGCTTACAATCGCAATATGTCGTCCCCGACTTCTTTCGGGACGACATAAAAAGAAACAGAGTAAAAACAGTATTTTCCCCAACTCCTTTTGGGGAACATAACAAGAAGGCTGATTTATAGAATCTGGTACGACTGTTCCTTTCTTTCAAGCAGAGATGTGCGAAATCGAGCGGCACTAAGTAACTATCCTTTTATGCAGTCATGTAACTCATGAAAGTTGAAAAGTAAACTTTGGATTTAAATATATATAAATAAGTGCTTGACCTCTGCATCTCCCAGAATCAACCCTTTAATCACTTTCTTAGATGTTTGTGAACTTTGACCTTTGAACTTTGAACCTGAGTTTGAATATTGAATATTAATTTATGTAATCTTTGCTTTGTTGTGTTGCCAGAGACACCAAAAGCTTTTCATAATTTTTGTCTCTAGATAAACAGGCGTGCCCCATTTTCGCCAAAATAAATTTATTAAATGCAAACTTGATGTTTTAATACGCACTTATCTGAGATAAAGCATGTTACCGTTAAAAAGCAATTTCATAGCTCAAGAAATTTTCAGTATTAAAGAATGACATATATTTAAAGAAAGAAAAGTTGATATCAATATTTGAATAAATAAAACATCCTCAAAAGTGGATAAGAATTTTCTATTTTCATATTTTGAAATTTCTTAAAATTCCTGAATTTCTGAAAATTCCAGACAATGAAGCACTATGCTATAGTAAATGTAAATTCCATAGCTACACATGTGTATTACCTCCAAAAGTTTACTTTACAAAGGTTATGTATAAACAAAGACTATTACTCCTCTTCAAAAAAATCAAATGAACATGCATTTTAAATATATTTTTTTGAAATCATTAAAAATGAAGAAACAGAGTCCGCTTTTATTAGCTATATAGCTTCTTATGATTGAATTTGAAAGACTTTTACATTAACGCATATAATTACCTGTAATATGTATTTTGAATGTGCAGTTTGGGGAAATATTTCCTTCTGCGTCAGCGGCAGAGTAAACAATTCCATGTGACCCAAGGGGAAACAATGAACCTGATTTTTTGCCTTCTATCTGTATAACAGTGGCGTTTCCTGAGTTATCAAATGCAGTGGGTTCATGCCAGGAAACACTGGATGGTTGACTGTTTCTCCCAGCATAGGCATATATGTTCTCGGGGCAATCGCTTATGATGGGTTTTTGAATATCTATGAAAACATATTAAAATTTTAATCTCTGTAGTTTGATACACAAAGACGTGACTACTCTAGAATCAAAATTATTTATTATTCCTAGGTACATGTACTTCATTTTATCGTTTCAAAATATTATAACGATGCTGTAGTTTCCAGGAGTGTTTAGAAATAATAGCCTTTTAAAGAATATGCTTATTAAAACAACAATCAATATGGTTCGGGATTTCATTGAAGCATTTTAGTTTGTTTATCATAAAGCAAGTTGTAAAATACATTTACTCATATTTTCATTTTTTTAAAAAAAGATGCATCTTTTATATACCTATGCATCCTGGTAGATGGTTTGACCACAGTTTATTCGACTGACATTCAATCTGATTTTCGTCAAGAACGGAATAACCACTATCACAACGTGTAGAACACACAGTTTTATACGTGTAGTCGGAAGAGGAGCACAACGATTGACCATTCGCTGGCTTTAAGGCAGGATCATTCCCTGGGCAGGAAATTTCTAATAAAATACATTAAAAAATTAGAATAAACTTTGTTCTATTAGAATTATATTTCTTTGATATATATATTTGTACAGCTCAACTGTTCATCGGCAACATCCTATGTATAGATCAGAAAGATGGAACTCCCCAGTGTCCAAGTTTTTATAAAACATAGTCCTATCAAAATGAAGCACATCAGCCAAAAACGACCCAATGATAGGTTACATAATTATGCACATGTATTCGTGACAAAGACATAATAAAATGTTCGGAATGCTGATTTTTAGGCGGATTGTTGAAATTCCTCTTTCATTAAACTAAACATGATAAATGTATGTATCAGATAGTTGTCTGTCTTGATTTAAAAAAAAATATCATGCAGGTGATAGCAATATATTCCCCAACAAATAAGGAAACTCAACGATTTAAAAGCTTAGACATCTTGCACACAGATGGGACTATTTTGTAATGCATAATATCCATTTATGACGTTAATGTATATGTCGTTTAATGTATGTCTCTCGTGAAATTCGTTAAATCTAGGGTTTATTGAGAAGTGTATCCAAAATAAGTACTAATATTGCTATAGAGTGACTCAAAATCGCAGAGAAAATAGGTGGTCAGTGTTCATCGTACTGATCTACGGTACAATGAAATTGACCTTTTTGCACGTAAAATTTAACTCTTTGGTTAATTACTGAAACCCTAATTATTTTTATCAGATGTAACCATGGCAAAATATATTATCATATTTTACGTAAAATATTTTGAATAAAATTTATCTTTGAAAAAATCTATTGTGTGACCTTTTTTTTCACTAAATGTAACATATTTTGGAGTATTAAAAAACTAAATACTAGGCAATAAAACATTTTCTTCAATCAAGCTTTTTACGACTTAACTGCTGATCAGTCACAAGTATCGAGTACTTTAAAATAATGAAAGAAAAAGTTGAGGTCAGTGATGTTAATCTTGAAATATTGGTCAAAATATGTGATTTTCAGGCAAAAAAAAAATTGATTAAATTTTATATTGACCTATTTGACATATCCTCATTTTTTTGGCAAACTTTGTTGGGGGAAGGTGCAAATCTTGTTCTAAAAATATAAATTAAGACCTATAATAATATATAATATATTCATAGCAATATCCTGATGGAAAATATTCTCTGAGAACAAGTATGTAAGCCTCAAGTTCCAAGATATTAAATTTAACAATTGTGCAGATTTGCAGAATTATCTGCTAAATATCCTTCCTACAAAAAAATTAGTCCCTCACAAATCTTGTTTCTTTGTAGCTTATTGAGCAATTTTGTCGTTGAATGTCAAAACCTAAACATTATTGAAATTAAATATGTTATAAAGATTTAATTTCGATAAATGGTTTTGAGGTAAGATGTTCTGCGTGAACTTTTCCAAAACGCTGACGAGTGACCTACCTTAAGCGTAAAAACGTCAAAAATTTACGGCGTAACAAATTGGACTAAAAATCCAGTTTTTGATCTTGTTTTCTTATTTCAAATACAAAATTTTATTTATTTGCACATTTTAAAAATAAGATTTGATTTGAATAAAGTTTTTCCAGTAAATAGATGATACAGCTCACATTAATGCTATACGTCCGGTTAAATACAATAATATTTGTGTCGGTATATCAAAAGCGACTAGATATCAAAATCGCTCTATCAATCTCTCCTTTTAATTGCTTATATTTTTTTAAAGAAACACTTGACTACATCTTGATTTGCACATTTCATTTATCACTTTAGTTTAACGAAAAGAACTTTTTGCATTGTATGAAATTTTTACCAAACATTCAATCTTTTCTTATTATTCCTCAAGATTACGACATATTACGGAAAGCCTCCAATTTTACAAAAAGTCAGAATCTGACAAAATATTTAATATCATTAATAAATTTTGTGTGATATCATCAAAGAACTGTATAGAAGCTTGATACGAATTTGCAGAAAAATCCATGCAGTCAAAATGATAGAATGGCTAAAATACTTACGCCCATCGTTTACAGCGTCACATGTACAAATTACGCAATTTAAAACCCAAATATTATGCGCGAAGTCTTAGTCATGCCATCTATTATACTTTAGAAGACAAATATTGTTTGATACTTCTAGCTTTCACCTAATCTGCGATCTTTTTTTCCCAGTTTTAATTCAAACTAGATGCTGCCATAAGACAGTTATACCCGCTCTACGGTGTTGCCTCTAAATACACATCCATTCATATTGGGCTTTCCTTGGAAAACGTCAAAATAAATCTTTAATTTACACAGTACATGTTTTCGTCAAATCGAGTATTACAATGAGATTCTTAGAATTAAGTAATTTGACTTTACCATGGCATGCGTTCGGGCTTTCACTGTGGATTCCAGATTCTCCGTTTGTTTCACATGTTATAACTTGTTCATTGTTGCTTCTTATGGGCAGCATTTCATGTCCTTCTTTACACTTTATTCTACATGATGATCCGTAAATAAACTCCCCGTCGCATGTCATTATGCTATTGTCTGGTGGTTGTATAGGGTGACAAGAGATCACTGGAATTTTACATATAAATGGTAAATTCAAGAAACAAATACTAAAATCAATGATTACTGTTAAAACACTTGTATATAAAATGTGGCCATGTATTCATTATTTCCCTGCAACTTTTTTAAACATGTTTATTATGGGTCATCCTAAATCTTTATGTAATTAATTGAAGATTATGAAATCGACCTAACTAGCTGATGCCCCAGCTAATATATACGCCACGTGCTGAATAAAAAACAAAAAAATCTTTCTTTTTCAGAGCGATATGTATGTATTTATTGTAAATGTTTGTTTGTAAACAATATAATTGAAATGTGACACTTTCAGATATAACCGTAAATAATATAATTTGAATGGATTGTTCATTAAATGTACCATTTTTAGTCCCCTACCGGCGAACCTGGAGGGTACTATAGGTTTCCTCTGCATCGGTCCATCCGTCTGTGTGTCTGTCTAGCTGTTCGTCCATCCGTCTGTCTGTCTGTTTGTCCTCGTCTGTCCGTCAGTCTGTCCTACTTAGTTTTCCGCACGTTTTTTTCTAAGCGCTTGCAATTATCAAGGTAGATTTTGGCATGTGAGTGTATCTTGATGGGTAACAGATCAAGTTTGAATTTCGTTTTGCTTAAATGATTTTTACAGAATTATGGCATTTTGAATATTTCATAATTGCTTAATATCATCGGGTTCGTGATGTGCGAAATGTTTAATATGAAGCAAGAAAAAGATGTTGAATGAGTTTAATTTTTCTCTTTTTGTGGAACCCGGTAGGGGACATGTATTGCTTATAAAATTGCGACTGCAATACTCTCAGAATGCTTGTTATTATTGTAGTGACCTATTAGACTGCGAGCTCAGCTACAGGCCGATGCAGGGGCTCGGGAACCACGAGGGATCACTAAGCCAGTATCAGAATGCAAACTCATTTATTGTTAGATCGTACCAAAGTGTTTCGTACCACACTCCTCCCCCTCATAATTTTAAGAGATGTACAGTGCGTTATTATATTTATGAAATAGTCAGCTGGGCCACAAAAATCAAGCCACTTTGACTATATACAAGTAAAAAATCATCAGAAGGGAATAAAAATTCATTTGGAACACATCCTGGAAGAAGAAGCATAATTATACAAATAATAAAAAAACATATAAATTCTACAGAGGGAGGAGTGGATAAGTAGGATAAGATATTCAAATACATATAATTCTAATTAAAATTTCCAATGACATCATGATTAATCGTCCAAAAGACAAAAATCCTTCATCCACTTAGGTGCCTGTCGTTTTCGAGCGGGTCTTTGGCAGATCTCCAGATCATCTGATGATTCATTCTCATGTCCTTCATTTGTGGGGCTTACAGCATCATCTTCATAAAAACTGGACTGCGGTAATTCCTCCTGTAATTGATTTTGCAGTTTGGATTCCTTGTCACTGGGTTCTGGGTGAAGAACTGAATGTCGTAGCCTTTAAAGCCATAAGGGTAGATCTCTGTCTTGACAAAGTTTTAATCTGTCATGGTGGACCACCTTGTTTTCCTTTTTCCCTTGGATTCTGTGCAGCACATGATTAATCTTATAAACAATGACAAAAGGGCCTATCTTCTTCGATTGGCCTACTTTGGAAGAGATATCCACCATATATACAACATCACCCACCTCATAGCTTCTTGTGTTTGATTTTATGTCATAGATCCTCTTCTGACGAAATTGTGCTTCCCCCAAGTTGTCCCTTGCAGCTTGATGACACACTGAAAGAGCCTCCTCCAAATTTTCCACATATCCTGCTGGATTTTGCCCTGGTATCTTCCTTCCTAACATTATATCTAAAGGTTGAGTGACTTCTCTCCCCAGCATCATTCTGTTTGATGTGAATCCCATTTGTCGATTGACAGTGGCACGGATTGCCCCAGCTATTTGTTGGAGGTGTAGGTCCCAATCTTTCTGTTGTGAGATGTTTTCCATATAACATCGGATGGCTTGGAGAACAAGACGATTGTATCTTTCGACCTGTCCATTCGAGCAGGGTCTGTATGGGGTGGTTCTCGTCTTTGTTATTTGGAGTAGTTTACACACTTCCTGAAATAAGCGGCTCTCGAAATTTCTACCCTGGTCAGAGTGAACCTGGAGAGGGCACCCCAATCGAGATACAAAACCTTCCACAAATGATGTTGCTACTGTCTCCGCTTCTTGATCAGGCAGTGCATAACACTCTTACCACTTGATGAATTGGTCCACTATCATTAAAATGTACTTGTTCCCTTTGCCGGACTCCACAAATGGACCATCAGGTCAATATGCACTCTTTCTAAGGGTGCTCCAGCATGGTATTGGCCAAGGCCTGCTTTGGCATGTACATTGGCTTTCTTGTTGACATTACATACTGGGCACGTGCGGACATAAGTCTCGCAATCTGAACTCATTCCAAACCACATATACTTTGGTTTCACCTTCTGTAGGGTTTTCTGCTGTCCCATATGGCCTGCTAATTTGTTGTCAAGAGATCCTTCTAGAACACAATTTTGTAGTGACTTTGGGACCACAAGCAATAGTCGGGACATAGAGCCATCTATCCACTCATAGAAAAGGATACCATTCAAAATTCGTAGCTGCGATGAGCAGTCCCAAAAGTATTTTATAGCTCTACTGGAAAGGGAAGGTCCAGTTCAGTTGGAACATAGCTTTCTGCCTTCCATTTCATTAAGGTACTTGTGTTTAAATCTTGCATTTGTGCATCTCTGATTTCTTCATCTGTTAAGGCAGAAGCCCAGTTACATGCATCCTTGTCTATGGTGTTAGGTAATTCCTTTGGTTTATCAGTTTCTTGAAGGGTCCTAACTGCTAGGGGGATTACATCATCAACATCCTCCTGGAAGCGTTCCCATTGAGCATGCATCCGTCGACAGTAACTGCAGCCCCCACAAGATAGCCTACTGACATCACAACCAGCATTGTAACAGTCACAGGATAGGTCATTTGTTGACATTCTGGATAGGCCATCAGCGTTCTGGTGTTTCTTTCCACTTCGGTGCTGGATGGTAACATCATATTGTGATAACTCTTCTAGCCAGCGAGCTAGTTGCCCCTCAATATTTTTGAACCCAATTAACCATGCCAGACTGTTGTGGTCTGTCCGCAAAATGAAAGGTCTGCCCAGTAGATAATATCGGTAGTGACGAGTAAATGCTACAACAGCTAGCAACTCCCTCCTAGTAACGCAGTACTTCCGTTGAGTAGATGTCAAGGTCTTGCTGTTAAAACTGATTAAGACTTCCTTACCACACTGAATCTGTGACAGTTCTGCTCCAATAGCCATATCCGAAGCATCCGTGTCCAATATGAACATGCCATCATCAAAGGGATATCCCAGAACTGCAGGGTTAGTCATTGCCTCTTTAAGGGAAATGAATGATGTGTCCTTCTCTTTATTCCAGATAAACTTTGTCTTTGGCCCTGTGAGAGTGTACAGAGGTGCTGCTATATCTGCAAAACTCTTTATATGCTCTCTATGGTTGTTAACATACCCAAGAAATGCTTCAAGGTCCTTCTTGCATTTGGGTGTCGGCCATTCTGCCATACATTTCACACTCTCGGTAGTGATGCTGACCCTTTTTCTGTAACCAAGCGACCAAGGAATTGAAGCTCCTTCCTGAAGAGATGACATTTTTTTAGTTTTAGTTTGAGGTTATGGGTCCTAAATCTTTCAAATACTGCTCTTAGATTTATTAAATGTTCCTCAAAATTCTGACCTAAGACTATGACATCGTCTAGGTAAGCAAGGTATTCTTTCCAGTTAAGACCTTGTAAAACTAACTGTATCACCCGTTGAAAGGTTGCAGGGCTATAGCATGTTCCAAATGGCATTCGTACAAATTCAAATAGGCCATACCTTGTAATGAATGCCAACTTGTGTCTATCATCAGGGTCTACCTCTATCTGATAATATCCCTGTGCCATGTCAAGCGTGCTCATAAAGTTGTTTTTTCCAAGAGTGTCTAGACATTCCTCCATGTTCGGGAGTGGGAAAGCATCTTTCTTGGTGACTTTATTAGCTCCCCTAAAATCAATACAATACCTTACAGTCCCATCTTTTTTTCGCACCAGGACCGGTGCTGACGACCACTCAGAAATTGACGGAACGATGATACCTTTGTCCAGCATAATTTTCAGATGCTCCTCTTCCTCTGATTGGAATCCTAGTGGTGTGCGCCTCAATTTGGATTTCACCGGGTGGGCATTGCCAGTGTTTATCTTGTGTTGGATCCCTTTGAACAGTCGCAAGTCAAAGTTTCCTTTAGAAAAAATGTCTTGGAATTCCAGAAGGAGGTGTTTAACACTTTGACTTTGCTCTGAGGTTAGATCTCTTGTTGATCTATCTGCTAGGTCTATCAAGTGGTCTGGTAATTCGACAGGAAAACATTCATTTGTCTTGCTGTGGTCTTGTAGTATTCCACCATTGACGACTTGGTCCACTTCAGAAACAGTCCCAATCACTACATTTTTCTGAAGTTCAACTGGTCTTGTTGACAAGTTGCGCAAAAGGACTGGCACTTGATCACTGTTATCAACTAAAGCATGTGTTGAAAGCAATCCCTTAACATTATGACATGGTTTGAAAACCAAAGTACCAGCTATGTGTTGGTCCAAATGGCCAAGAACCTGCACTGATGAAAATGGTTCAACTCTCACTTTTTGACTTAATTTCACTCTAGCTATTTGAACTTGTTTACCTCCTGCATCTAGTAGAGTTGCATTCATCCGTTTGCCACCAAGGACTATCTGTATTTCATTAAGGTCAATGGTAGAGTTTTGTGCCTTTAGAAAATCCAGACCTAATATGACGGGATCAGATATGTCAGCTATAAGGGCAGTCCAGGTGATTGGGTCTTCTTGTGTGTTCCCAATACAAATCTGAATGTTTTTACAGTAGTTAGCCTCAAAAAAGTCAGAATTTCCTGCACCCTTCATGGTTACTTTTTCTCCACGAACTAAGGGTGGGGTGAAAGTGTTGGCAAAAGCTTGGCTGATAACTGTTATCTGGGCTGCCGTGTCGACAATAGCTTGAACAGGTTTTCCGTTAATAGAGATCCCTAGCATCAAGTTGTATGGATGTGTTTGACTGTTGTCATACATTCGTATGTCGTAACTGGTTGGAATAGTCCTGGTTTCTCTCTTCGGCGATCTAGGGGATGGCGAACGGGACATGTGTGACCTTTGGCATTCTCTAGCAAAGTGACCTGGTTGTCCACAGTTGAAGCACTGTGCTGCTTTGAGTGGTGAAGAGCTGGAAACAGAACTAGAAATACTGTCTGTTTTCCGTGGTGGAGATTGTGACCTTGTGGAAAGTTGTTTATTCATTAGGGTAATGATTTTATCCACTTTAGCGTTGGTCGCCTCCAGCCCACTTTTGAGTTCAGCTATTTCTTCTGAAAGTTTGTCTGCTCTGCTTTGGGGTCGTATTGGTCTAACTTTAAATTCATTCAACAAGCCCAAGTCACTATCAAGGTCATCCTCTTCAAAACGAACCTTCCTCACCTCCGGCTTCTTAGCGCCTAAGATTAATCTCTGATTATTGAGTGCAGCCTTTACCAATAATAAGGCCGTCTCAAGGTCAGGAGGGTCTTTGTCCATAGTTGTAAGTGCTGCTCTTTTATTTTCGAGGCCCTTCAGGAAAGTGTCAGTAGCTATTGTTTCTTTTACACAGTTTGGAGCCTGTGGGTAGCCTTCACTTACCATTTCCTGGATTTTTTCTGCAAATTCATCAACAGATTGGTCACCTTGCTTGATATCCTGGAGATTCCTCCTAATTGTGTGAGGGAGATCTCGCTGGCCAAATCTTGTTTTCATCTTTGCACAAAGTGATGAGAAACTGCTCTGTACTTGGGCTGAACATGTATAGTAATACTTTAATGCTTTGTCACGCAAAGATTCAACTAGGCGTTCCAGTCGTTGTTCATTGTTCGAGTTATATCTTGTCGCTTTCATGTTGAACTGCACAATATATGGATTCCATTCCGATTTTCCATCGAAGGTAGCCATCTTTGGTGGGGGAGGACCCATAGTTTGATAACTCGTCATGAAATTTGGCTTCTGTCAACTTTTCACTTTTTGTGAATTTCCATCTGTGGTTACCTTAGCAGCAGTGTTCCCACTGGGCGGGCCAGACAAAAGCCAGCCACAATAAGCAGTAGCACTGTCACTAGGTAACGAGGTGTTTTATTTTTTGATGTCCATTTTAGGTTTCATCCATGGATTACGACCACCATAAAACCATGTGGAGCCAAATTACCGACAGCATTTTCATTTATTTTCAGTAACTTTTCTTCATATGTTTTTCTAAGCTTTTCCTCAAGCTGTGTTTGCATGAGTTCATAGTGTTCTTGCGAAGCCTTCATTTGCCTCTTTAAAATCACTCGACATTTTTTCCATTCGGTCATTCCATTCCTTCTTAAGTGCCTGAAGTAACTGTGGTGATGTGTCTAGAGAAACTTTTTCTTCATCCAATAGAGTTCTTATGGTATTATAGGTGCCCTGTAGGAATTGGAGTATGTCATCTTTTGTTATAAAGCCCTTTTCCTCCCGTAGTTTAAGGATAGCTGTGGCTCTTTGCTGACCAATTTCCCCCGAGTTTAATTAGGTCCTCATAAGACGCAGTATTCAAGTTTATAGCAGGCATTATTCTATTGATCTTAAATCCTCCTCAGAAACTTGTATGTCCAAAATGTCTTCTGGTAAAACTCTGAAACAACTTCTGTTAATATCCTCAGTCAAACTTCTGCTCCAGATCAAGGCCAATTCTGTACCTGAATGGATGCCATCGTAAAAAACAGAAAATTTGTAAGAAATCCTTCCGTTGTTCTTCTTCTTGCGATTGTCTATGTCCTTGCGTCTGCGTGTTATGTCCTTATTAAATCGCAAATTAGATTGTCCAGTTTCTGAATTTATTGCACGAATATTTGCATTTAAAGCTTCAACTTGCCTGCAAATTTCAATGTCTTGGCTTTTGAATAAGTCTGGATTGGAATGACCTTTGTGTCAATTATATGCCACGATTGAGTAGCACGGTATTTCAATGAATTTCACTTTTATATCTTAGAACTTGGATACAATTGTTATGGCTCTTCGGTATTGTGCGGTAATGGTATCTACGACAGTATTGTCCCAGCAGCGAACTTGAGTAATTTTCCTCTCTTTTCTGGTAATGTCACAAGTCCCAAGCCAAATATAAATCAGTGCTGAACCAAAGGCTCTGGACTCCAATCTCTGTTCAAGTTGATCTTCGGCCTTTTCAGTTTGCAGGCCACTTTGGCACTTAAACTCGACAAACCTCGGGGGGGGGGGGGGGGGGTTATTTTTAAGAGCAAAACCTTTGCTGTCTGACAGAAGAATTGGTGTGTGACACAGTGACCCTTGAGGTGTTGTTGGTGGCTTGCTGAGAAAAGCTTGTATTTTTTGGTCCAGACAATGACATGAACAAAATAATATGCAATATGATTTTATGAAGATTGAAGGGTTGAATACACAACTAATATGGCTATTGAAATTAGAAATTCAAACAAAACTCCAAAATAAAATTCCTATCGCAATCGAATGATATCGCAAAAATTTTTATGTAATTGAAAATAAAATTTCGAATTGTGACAGCTATGGGTTTCCGTACCCAAGTTAACAAATTAAAAATCAACACTGACGCTAAATGGAGAATGAGATAGAATTATAAAATTTCAAAAATGATTGTCAAATAGTAGCGTAGTAATATTGTCACACTTGATAGATTAATTTCTCCTTTTTCTGCGAGAAACCAAGTTTGACAAAACGCGGGAATGTCCGAGTTTCCTCGACACTATTGCCCTACGCTAATCAAAATACAAGAAAAATCAGTAAAAGGATATTATATTCTTCAACTGGACGTAGAATCGGTCACTTCTGACACCAGTTGTAGTGACCTATAAGACTGCGAGCTCAGCTACAGGCCAATACAGGGGCTCGGGAACCACGAGGGATCACTAAGCCAGTATCAGGTTGCAAACTCATTTATTGTTAGATCGTACCAAAGTGTTTCGTACCACATTATTATGCTCTGATCAATATCATAAAAAAAACTAAAAACTATATGATAAAATAGTTAAGGATTTTTGGAAATTCCAGAGGTTAGATCACGTGTCTAGGATGTGTAAGCATCCCATGTTGACACCCGCTTTAAATTTTAGCCTTACATGCATGTATTGATTATGAAAATGAAGAAATATGGACATCCTTCTGTCAAATCAAGTACAAAATCAAAGACATAACATTTAGTACGAAACAAGGAAGACAATCTAAGACCCGGTGAAAGTTTATATTTAATTTGGTCATTATAACACTAATGTAAACTTCACTTCCTGAAATAAAGGTTACCAATTTATTATTGAAGTCAATGTCTTATTAGTACACTAACCTTTTTGACGCAGGGTAATACATGGATATACATGTAAATTCATATACAGATTCTTCACATTCTTTATTCTTTGGAACAACTTGTGTTCTATTCATATAAAATACTTGTAGAGTCTTTTAATAATTATGAAAAAATCATTATATCTACTCATTTGTTGTTCGAAACATCTACGTATAGAGAACGTAATTAATGGAAGATTAAAGTAGCCTTAAACTTGAAGAATACAAAAGATACCTTTCACAGAAAAGGAAAAACTGCATGAAGATCTAGCTCCTTTATTGTCTGACACTTCGTAAGTCACAGTATGTGTTCCTCTCGTAAATTCTGAACCACTTGGACTTCCAGAAACTATTGTTGGGCTGAAAATAAAAGAAAAATTAATAAGCAATTATTTTCAACTTTTCTTCAAAATATGATTAAATATTAAGTATCATATCTGTGCTCTGGATTCCATATCATAAGTAACATATCTGTGCTCTGTATGTAACAATCACAACATACCCGACTAAACTGTCCCCCTCAGGATCTTTTGCCTGTGGATCAGACCAGTAATGTCTTGCAGTTATTTCCGATCTCTCAGCGTAAACAACTTTATGTTCTCCGGTGTCAGGGCATATCAGATTAGGAGGATTGTTTGGAGGATGATTAAAGTTTTCGTTGGCTATGAAAGTAAGGTTTTTTTTTTAAGTTTGTAAAACAATGTATAACCATGTGAATTTTATTTAGAATTAAAATGACGTGATTTGAATTTAAAAAGAAATAAGAAATAGGTTCAGCTTTACTGAAGAACCAAAAGGGTCTTATTTTATTTTTGTTACAATTTGCATCATTGTGAAGTATGCTTAGAAGATTTTAAGAAAATTATTCATGTGCTAGCATGTGTGAATGTTAAGGGGCCTTTTAAAGTAGATATGGATCCCCACAATGTGAGTAACAAAACACCGACTTCCTTAGACTCAGAGGACGGTGACTTAAATTGTGATTTCGAAGTCAAATGATGCTGATGACATGGATATCATATGTCATTTTCTCCTTTTCCGCTGAATGATATCTAAATTAATGGCTAATTTATCAGATCGATGTACGTGCAATTACGGTTGAGACGTACATCTTTGGACTTTATGTTTCGTCTTATGTAAGAAGCGATAGCACAATTAGTTGATTGAATACACTTCATTTTAGAATAAAAGCATTTAATATTTTAATTTGGTATATCAAAGGGTATAATGTGTATCATTTACTAATTTTCATATTAGTAGGTGATAGATTTTTGTAAATATAAATGTACCGGGATTTCAATTTGTGAAAAAAGTTTCTATGGACGCCACTTGGCACTCTAGATCAAGTTTAGTGAGTTCGCTTCGTGATCTTGGGGGAGGGGGGTGTTTGGGTTCAATTCCCATATTACTTGTACCTTAGCATAGATGATAACTCTTTCTTTGCAAAAATCGGTACTAAAATTTAATGCCATGGTTGAAAACTTCAAAAAAGCATTTCAATTGTAAAGGTGGGTGTTAAAACGATTTAGAGTCCTCACTGTATAATGATTTGGATAAAGAGACTTCTTTAAATGATTAAATAAAAGGTCACGTACACGCAATCGTCGCCCGCGTGGCGTAGTGGCTAGAAAATCTGCTCTTGAGTCGAGGAATATGTATTCGTTTCTTTCGTTGTGGGTTTGAATCCATTTCAAAACTTGAGGCCAGTATATAAATCGAATGAATAAATCGGGGTATCATTCCGTTTTCCAAAAGATGTTGATGCGTAGAATAGCTCACTGCTCAAATGTCCAAGGTTCCGAGAACCTAATGAGTGTTTCATTCCAGGTGAGGGAGGGCTTTCTTTGTGAAGATGTGAATGCCCTTTTGGCTAGCAGTGTACATTTGGTCGTTTGTCTCTTAATCCCAATGCACAAAAAGTGCTATAATACACAGTTTAAGAGGCAGTCACCCGAAAAACCAGGCAGTATTGTATTGATAGGCGGCACATCGAATGTGAGGAATATTTGATATTTTATTAAAAACAATATCAATGTAGTCCAAAAGGAATAATGTAATTGAAGATTTGTTTGAAAATTGCTTATTTAGTAAAATATTCCTGTGTTTTGTGCTTTTGAATTCCCCAGAATTCCCCTATATAAACCATTGAATGTAGGCCAGAAACAAAGAACTGTAATTTCTCATACATTTTTAAGAAGACTATAATTCACACTTAAATAAATCTAGGAATATTTCATCTTTTTGTTTAAAAAATAATATCGGTGGGAAAAACACTTTTGATAGTAGTTTTCTAGCAAAATATATAAATGTTTTTGTGATGCAAGAGTTATCTCCCGTGTCATCGGTAACGCTGCTAAACACCTTTTTAACGGAATCCTAGTGAAATATTTAGAATCGATACACTAAAGAAAATTATTAAACAAAAAATAACTTATTTATTTTCAAAATATAATTCATTTTCGCCTCCAAAGGTAATATTTAAATAAAAATTGGCTATATTATTTGGGTTGAAATCACGTTTCCATTGATGTATCAGTGACGTCATGCACCTGACTAATGTTGCATCACAATGAAATAAATGCAAGTTTCCCAGAGAAGTTTGTAAATTCTTTGCATAAAGTGTAAAGAAAAAGATTTAAATGACTTCTCTTTTTCTGTGTAATTACTCTGGCGAATACTTTTTTTATACACGGGCGGCGTCTCATGTAGATGTATTAAAACAAGTCCGTTTTGATAAGAACTTTTACACATGTCTGAGAACTTTTTTTAAAACTGATTTACTATGATATACGTAAAAATAATTAATGAAGTGTTTATAATGAACTATTCTTATAAAGTTTGGAATCAATGATGGATGTTTTAGATTTACGCAACATTTAATTCAACGAAGTTGAGATGTTTATAAAAACTTAAATATATTTACCTATGCAGTCAAATCAAAAGAAACAATCCGCGGTACGATTAAAAAGGGAAAAAACCCTGAAAAATGATATAAAAATATATTTACTGAGTTAGATTACTGCTGAGCTCCCCACTATAATTTGTCACTAAAACGGAATATGGTTTAGTGAAACATTTCGTTTTTTTATTATATATTTTTTTCATTAGGCTATTGAACCAATCACACACTCACCTTAAATATCTTCTGAAAAAATTCCCGTACAACTTAGACATGACCCCCCCCCCCACCCCCCTGCTTTTTGCTTGCGATTTATCAGCTCTTAAATAATGATACTATATCACTTATTTTCTTATTTATATCACCGTTCACGGTAGCCTAGTGGTAGAGCGTTCGCTTCGTGATCGGGAGGCCCGGGTTCGATTCTCCTTCCCGGCGCCGCGTCAAACCTAAGACGTAAAAATAGGTAGCGACTGTTCCTTCGCCAAGCGCTCGGCATCAGGAGTGAAAGTCACGGGTCTTTCGGATATGACCTTAAAAACGTAGGTCCCGTGTCAAGGTAGGCGCTGGCACGATAAAGAACCCTCACTGCTCAATGGCCTTGAGTGCCGAGTATAGGTCTAAATTTGAAGCCCTTCACCGGCATCGGTGACGTCTCCATATGAGTGAAAAATTCTCGAGAGGGACGTTAAACAATATACAATCAATTAATCAATCTTATTTATATCAAATCCAAAATTTTAAAAGAAGAAAATATAGGGTAAATGACTTTACAGATGACCGGTAAAAAAACTTGGATAAAGTCGAGACTACATATAAAATATTTTCTGTATTTAGTCATGTTTAATTAATTTCGTCACTGATAGAATTTAACTCTTTAATTCCTGAGAAAATAGAAAAAGAAATTTTACTTGGAAATAAGATAAATAATGAAATTATACGTAGATAGCTGTCTGCTCTCAGAGGTTGCATGATGCATGTACAATAACATTTTTTGAAATACCGAGTATCAAGAAGTCAAACATGTTTTTACATGTAATCTTCATGTACGTAAAAGACATTAGTAATTTAAATAATATATACATTGAATCTATGGTTACAGTCAATTAAAAACAGAAAAATGATTGAAAAGAAATAAAACAGAAGCATATTTTTCTGATAAATTAATGAAGAACCACATAGAGGAAATATTTCTAATTCTACGGTAAAAACCGACCCCGATTGAAATGAAACCGATCCCGATCGAAAATAATGCAAAATTAATAAATTTATCAAACTAAAGGCACCTGCCACCTAGATAATGTGTAAAATGATAGATAAAGTAAACCTTAAACAACATTGCAACAAAAGAGCCACATTTAACGAAACATTTATAATATTTTCTTCTTTATCTAATTCCGATCGGGATCGGTTTAATTAGGGGAAAATCATAAATAACAGGTAAATTTGACTCCTTTTATTTCTCTTAAGATACCTGTTCCCACCAATTTTATTAAATGACTCAAAAGTTTGTACTTTTTATTCATAATAACATGAGGGAAAAAACTATGTCATAGTAATGTATTGGATTTTATAACTTATCGAAAATTGCATACTGAATTCAAAAAGTGACTTGTTAAACTCAATTTTGGACCACATATTTTTTTTCTAAAGAAATATAATTTGGAGTCTTATTCATTATAAAATAAAAGATAAGAGTCTTTGCTATAAATAATATTGATTGACACATCCAGCTTTTGAGTATCTGTTACAAATAAAATAAAATAAAAACATAGTAATTTTTTTATCCTCAAGTTGACCTTTTTGCACTTACCAAAAATAGGACTAGAGGACCACTAAAAAAATTTTTGATGTTGTCATGTGTAAACACTTGCTATACAAAGTCTACATGCAAAAAAATAATTAAAATCTATGACATGCGATGTGCCACCTATTGCCTGGTTTTTCGGTGGACTGCCTCTTAATACCCCAAAAGCCTACCTGTACCCGTGTTTGGGATTTTGAGAAAAAAATATATATATAAAAAATAAGCATAAATGCTACATGTAATCTATATTGTTAAACTCAATTTTGGACCACATATTTTTTTTCTAAAGAAATATAATTTGGAGTCTTATTCATTATAAAATAAAAGATAAGAGTCTTTGCTATAAATAATATTGATTGACACAGTCAGCTTTTGAGTATCTGTTACATATAAAATAAAATAAAAACATAGTAATTTTTTTATCCTCAAGTTGACCTTTTTGCACTTACCAAAAATAGGACTAGAGGACAACTAAAAAAATTTTTGATGTTGTCATGTGTAAACACTTGCTATACAAAGTCTACATGCAAAAAAAATAATTAAAATCCATGACATGCGATGTGCCACCTATTGCCTGGTTTTTCGGTGGACTGCCTCTTAATACCCCCAAAGCCTACCTGTACCCGTGTTTGGGATTTTGAGAAAAAAATCTATATATAAAAAAATAAGCATAAATGCTACATGTAATCTATAGTAATCTATATGTATGTTGATTTGTGTTTGAATGTAAGAGGGGATACCCATTAAAATCTTATTATATACTGAAAGGAAAAAGAAACGCATGGGTAAACTTTTGAGATGAATCTAATTTAATTTTCTTTTTTAATTATTCAGTTTTCCTGTCTTAGTTTTAAAGTCATCTTTCAAAAACATATGACCAAAATCCCATCTGATTCTGTCTAATATGTCATGAGCTATTGAAACTTACATGACGATACCCCCAAAAAAGGGAAAATTAAAAACTCTCATTATCTTGAATTTCTCTCCAGCGTATCCGTCATGAGCATAATTCCTCCTTTGCATCAAATCTTCATCTTTGAAACACTGTCTATATTGGGCATGGGTAACAACTCCAAAAAATTAGTCATACCACGCGCGCATGCACCAATGTGAGGAACAAAACAGTAAGTTGATCGGCTAAAAAAAATAATTTGCGGAATTGTTTTCTTTTATTCTTCGTGTGAATGTAATGGTTATGATAGTCGATTGTATAAAAGGTGTTTTTTGTGGAAGTAAGGTGGCGATTTAAGAGATGGAGGACGAATAAGCCGCTCAAAATATGACTTTGTTTCGTGTTAACGTCAACGTCACAGTTGATAGAAAACCATTCCAGTCCCTCTCTGACAACGGGTAAGAAGATTTAAGGGAGAACATTTACAAAAAACTGCTAACTTACTCCTTGTTGCGTTTATCATTAATGAGGCAATTAAAACAAGCCCCATGGAACTTCCATGAACTATGCGAAGATAGCAAGAAATCCATTATTATCGTCTTTAAATATTGAAAAACAATGTGTATACCTTGGTGCATCAAATAGTTCAACAAGAATTGTTGGCAAAGTCGTCTTCATCAAATTGCATATGTTTTGGGGCTTTTAAGCGTTTTCCCTACGTGACGTCATACATTTTACGGTTTTGTAATTCTGAAAAACTGATTTTGGTGCATAGTAAATAAATTTATCATCTGACCAATTTTTGTAATTTTCAGTCATGCGGTCAAAAAAAAATCGAATATTATGCTACCCTGCATATCTCTTTCCTTTCAGTATATATTAAAAATATTGTTCTAAAATTATTGCTTGTAGATTCTTATTTGATTAAGGAAGGAAGACATCAGTGACCAATGAATAATATATTTATATATAACAATTTTAGATTTGATAAGTACAATGTACATATTACACTTTTCCCTAACTTAATAACATGACAATTCTAATTTATTTTAAGCATGTTAAAATAAATACTCGTCTGAGAGTTTTGTAGTGGGTATTTTGGTGTTGCCTACTATCATTGAATGAGATGATATCGGAAAAAATTCTTCTAATAAGCTGATCACCCCTTTGAGTGGGTAGAATGAGACATAAATGTATATGTGTATGCAGAAGAGACGGTGGCAGCCGCAAGGCCAATTCTGGTGGAGGAATCAGTTGTAAGGATCAGAAGAAAGATGAAGGGGCAAACGTTTAAAGGGGTAACTAAGACATTACTTACTATTACAATAAAAGAGCAAAGGTTAGAAGCGCATTAGTGGAAGGAAAGCAGTCTAGAGGAATTGTGATGAGGTACCAAGGCGAAGTAATTCTGTATTTGAATGAACCTGGCAATTCGCTATGCAATATGAACTTTGGGTATTCCAGAAACATATTGCAGGTTACCTTGCTCGGGAACCATGGCCTACCATTCAAATTAATTGTACATATTTCCAATCAATAATTACACGGATAGAGTGAGAGGAAAAATATATACAATATCAATAATGGAACCCCTGTACCTTGTAGAACCCTGTAAGTTTACAAAAATTGGATACGAAACAAACAGAATATCATCATACTTTCTAATACTAAAGGCTGAATTTTAATAGTATATATGTCAGGTCAAAATAATTCACAGTTATATTGTAATACTGTTTCCTTATACCAGGTGTGCCATCAAAGGATCAAGAGTTAATTTGAATATCATCTCAGGTGCCAAAGAAGGGTTAAAGGGTATACACAGAGACTAGTAAATAAATGTCAATCAAGTCTAAGTATACACTAATTTCATGACTAGGAGAGGAACAGTCAAACTGTTGTCCCATGGAAATGACAAAGACTTCTGTTTTCAAGACTTGTCTTCCCCATCAAATCGGGCAACAGATTTACTGTTCCCCTCATAGTCATGAAATAAGTGTTTATTATTACATAACCTACTATATAAATGTAATTAGGCATTTTGAACTGTTTCACGATTCAACTTATGTTTTTGCGTGATCATGAAACAGTCGAACTGTTGACCGGGCAACAATGAACTGTTGCCTATTTAACGAGGCCCGATCTAGTTGAAAATTACGAAAATGGAATGATAAAAAATGTTAACTTTTGAAAATATTTTTGTATGTATTATTCTAAGAATAATTAGAATGAAATTTTGTTACCTTGCCTTTATTGTAGTCAAATGGGGGCACTGTCAAGATATTGACCATTTTTCGTGTTTTTATGCACGATTACAAAGTAAAACTCTCAAAAAAAAAAACAAACAAACAAACAAAGAAATTGAAAATTAAAAAAAAATTCACGATGAAATGTTTTGTTGTTCACATATATCATGCAATTTCCATTCTTCTTATAAAAAATGAAAAGAAAATTAGAGGTAGCCTTTATTGCAGTGAAAAGGAGGCATATCAAAACACAAAATTAGGATTTATTTTATCCAACTAGATATGAAATAAGTCGCCATGGGTTAACTTTATATAACATCAACAAACAATTGCAATACTGTATCATTTTCCAAAAAGATAAATTGTTCTTACATTCTGAAATAATTTTCAAACCATGCTTTATTTTTTTTCTTAACACGCGATGTTGTTATACGTGGAAAAAAAGGGGGTGGGGGGCAAAGGCGACAAATGACGAATTTTACTAATATCATGTAATACATGTATATTATAGGAAAAAAATATATATATCGGGGGTTGCATTTAAATGATTCATAGACTGATTTATTTTTACGCAAGCTAATCCAAGCATATTTAAGTCCTCAATAAAAAAGGGTGTGTATAAACACTTCAATACGTTCGAGGAGAAAAACTAAAATCGTTTATTTTTGGTTGTAGTGTTTGTTTTTTTAACTCACAAATTGAAATAAAAACAAGGTAGAATTAATGCATTAAAAAATTGATACCTCAAAATAAATCATGATCCAAAGTTGTTTATTAATTAAAAAAAAATATTTAAAAAAAACTTGTAAATAATAGAAATATGGAAGGGAATTACCGCCAAAAGTCTATGTATCTTCCTTTTATTCTTATTCTGCCTACTTCTTTATGCTTTGTTATTATTGTAATTATATGTCACTTTATTCTTTTCATATTCGTCTTTATTACATTTCACTTTGACTTTTATCCTTCTTCATTTCGTCCCTACTTCTATGTTTCTTTATTCTTGTTAAGTCATTTTATTTTCTTTTAAATTGATACAGTATCTTAAATGATTATCTCTATTACGAACGTTAACTCAATCACACAAACAATGAAGCATATTCAATGAAGACGAATACGAGTTGTCCTAATTTAGTGCCGCATTATAACGCTAGGTGGCAGGGGTGTTCGCTAAGAGTGTTGGTAAAATTAGGCAAACCGGGCCGGGGTTATTCGAGTTTTTTTTTTTCCAATTTTCTGCCTTAATACTTTATCAATCGAACTTAAATTTTCAAATGAATGATGTTTGTTATTAGTTCAGGTATGTACCCGATACATGCCATTCCCTCGGAAGTCTCGCTAGATGGTAAGATTTCCCCTGGAAGACTGACAGCATAGTGATGCTTCCTTCGGAAGACTATACAGTGGGATTTCCCCCCGGGGTATAACTAGTCTTCCGTGGGAAATCTCGCTATATATAGCAATTCGCCCCCCCCCCTTCATAGCAACCCTTCCCCCGAATAGTTTTTTTAATCGTAAAACGATGTTTATACATGTATATACGAACGTTTTCAGTTTTTTGATGAAAAGTTATCCGTCCTATACACATGATACATGTATGAATAAATATTTAAATAATATCATTTTAAAAGTGCTTTATAATTAAATCATTTTAACCAATAGTTAAACATAGATAATCTTCACGAGAACATATGGATAATGACCCCCCCCCTCCCCCTTGGTTAAGTCGCCCGCGTGGCACTGTAGTTACGGCGTCTGCTTAAGAGTCACGAAGTACAGAAGTAAGGACGTCGTGGGTAAGAATCCCACTGTAGGACGTGGAGTTCAATCCATCGGATGAGATCTAGACCTTGTTATTCGAGGTCCCGTGTCGCAGTAGGTGCTGGCATGAAAAAAGATCCCTAACTGCTCAATGGCTATAAGTGCCAAGTATATAGGACAAATTTGCAGCTCTCCACGGGCATGATGTGGCTTCTCCTTTTGAGTTAAAATTTTTCGCAAGGGACATTATACAATGTACAATCAAACCACAAGTCTCAATATATATATATACTGACTTCCGGTTGGACGACCTCCTATGGGGTAAGTTTCGCCGGTAGAGGGGGTGGGTGGCCACGAAACATTTTCCTAAACATAACTTTTTACTACTGGAAAAGTTCAGCGAAAGGCTTGTTGACCCTATCCCTTACCCTTTTTGTTGCAGTACTAATAGTCAATTTATATATTAAAAGTCATGTACTTATTGGCATGAGTAAAATTTAGTACTGAAAAAATGTTGACGACCCCTCCCCCCTCACCACCACCAAACAGAATTTTCGAGTTCTAAGGTATTTTTAGCTCTCCTGGCTGATAACAAATACGATGCGTACTAAAGATATTTCTTTCTTTCTTTCTTGAAAATTAAGTGCTATTTTAATATAAAATATTAACGCTGAAAATAAGACCAGGGAGTTTCTAGTATGTCTGGATGCATGAAGCCTAGTTCCTACTTCGCCTACCATGCCCGGATCTAGAGGGGGCTGGGGTGTTAGGACCCCCTGGAATTTACAAGGTTTAAAAATATATACTAAAGCAAGGAAAAAAAGTTAAACGCTCCCTACGAAATAGGATTTTGACGTTTGGGAGAGTTTAGGTTTTTTATACTCGTCAAGAAATTTCTGGGATTGGACGAAATTTTTTTTGGACTGGGGGTACCCGGCTGAAAACAACCTGACAAACCCCCCCCCCCCCCGCAGGAAATTGTCTAAACTTAAAAATACATACCAGGCGTCGGAACCTTGGAGGGGGACTTAGCCCCCACTTTTTTTGTCCAGGGATAGATTTAGTACAGACGTTCCTGCATAGGTTTAGACCCCCCCCCCCCACTTGCTATGGACACGATGCAGTATAGGTTTAAAATCGGGAAAGTGGTGGTGTATGGAAAAAAAATCTTTGGAACTGGAGTTCGAATCTACCCCCCCCCCCTCCCACGAAATTGAATATTTGAATTCGGAAAATTGACATTTCTTTTCTTTTCTTTCTTTTTTTTTTTTTTTTTGCTTGTCAGGTTTTTTTTTTGAAGGTCTTAAAAAATTCTTACACTTAGCCCCCCCCCCCCCACTTTCAATTTGCTTCCGATGCCAATGAAATCCAATTTCGAAGGCGGGGTGAGTTTTGGGTTAGATTCAACTTCCCCTATAGAATCAAATTTGATTTTTTTTTCCCACTATACGTACTACATTAACTTGTTTGACCCTTACTCTTACAAAAAGAGGGTCGGCCTTTCAATGAACATATTCAGTATAGTATAAAGTTATGTCTGATAAAAGAGGCCGCTATTCATGTGTGCCCAGAGAAAATAAATATGGAGTTTCCATTATTGGATCGGATTATTGGATCCGGCCTTCAGAAGTTCGATTGATAATTAAAGTACTAAGGCGTATTGAAGAATCTCAAATAACCCGACCCGGGTTTTCTTACCTAGTTTTACCAACACTCGTAGCGAACACCACACCACCTAGCGTTATAATGCCGCACTAAATTTTGACGGTTTGACAACTTCCATTCGTCTTCATTGAATATGCTTCATTGTTTGCGTGATTGAATAATTTATTTAAGAAACTGTTTAAGTTTAAAAGAAAGTAGAATGAATTTACAAGAATAAAGCAACATAGAAGTAAGGACAAAATGAAGAATGATAAAAGTTCGAAGTGAAATGTAATAAAGACGAATATGAAAACAATAAAGTGACATATAATTACAATAATAACAAAGCATAAAGAAGTAGGCAGAATAAGAATAAAAGGAAGATACATAGACTTTTGGCGGTAATTCCCTTCCATATAGAAATACCAGCTTTCAACATGTACATTCTATAGAGCTACCAGAGGCCTGTTCAGAAGAGCGAACGTTCGCGAGCGCTCGCCAAAATTACTATTGGAGGTATAAGGAATTTTGGCGAGCACTCGCGAACGTTCGCTCTGCTGAACAGGCCTCAGGTATATGCAAGATCAGCGAAGCATTTTAGCGCAATTTGAAGTCATTTTAATTGTGACGTCATTGTGTTCAATTGTGACGGCAGTCAAGGGTACTATGACGTGCCTGAGTTGACGCTGCGTTAAAACGTATGCACAGTTCAAGTAGATCGGGTCTCGTTAAAGCGTCTTCGGGATATTCAAGCGTTTCGATGATCACGACATCGAATCACTCTTTACCTGCTATACAATTAATCAAATTGGTAAAAACACACAAATAATCAATTTTTTAAATATTAATT